ATTGAATGAAAAGCACATGTCAAGTGCTGAGCACAGTGCCCTGTGCACAGCACATGTATAAAAAATACCAATTGTTATGACGATGAGGCCAGCAGTAGAGAGACTTGTGAACAGAACCACTTGTCAAAAGGAACCGTTCTGAGGCAGCCTGAGAGTAAGGCTCTTTCCAGAACTAAGGGTTCCCAGGGAGCTGCTAGTGATGGTGCTGCCTGGGGTAACAGGAAGGGACGGAGGCAATTATACAGCGTGCAACAAAAATAATTTCATTTCTAATGCTTTTCCCCCGCTGGGCCACTTAGACCCAAACAATAACAGTGAAGCGGGGTAGAAATGAGAAGGGCAGACACATTCTGAAGGAGCCTGGTGACAGATGGACGAGCCCCAGGACACAGTTTGTCTCCCAGACATCGCAGCTCTGTGCTGCAGGTGGTGCTGGAAGGCAGGACTGATGAGAAGCTATCGATAGGGCCTTGGGGCTGAGTGTCCTGATGTCACTCACCATTGCCCGTCTGTGAGCATGCTCACAGCATTCAGTGGGCTCCAGGGAAATGAGGGGCTCTTCTTCCCATCCCCTCAACAAATACCTCCCTTGTCTGCTCTTGAGAAGAGTGAAAATCCCTGCAGGTGCCCACAGATTATAACAAATTTGCTCTAAACTTACTAAGCTGCCTATGTTCAATGCATATCTAACATCAATCTATTCTGGGAGTTCCCAGGAGCACTTCCCTGCTCCCACCTTGACATATTGCCCAATACTCTCCAGAACATTCCCAGCAGCCTCTGAACTTTGGGGTTCTTCAGCAATACAAGCTCTTCTATCTGGGGAGAAGGGAGTCCCCAGGTCCTAGTGAGTCATCTCTGGCTCCTCCCATACAGAGCCAGCAGGAGCCTTGGTTCTCTGCAGAGACGCACTCTCGTGTCTCCTAGGGAGAGAAGAGGGTGCACACTCCCAGAGGCACCGCGGCTGTTAAGGGTGTTGATTTAACTCATTTGTCAGATTGAGGTGAAGGTGACAAGAGGAAATGAGCAGTTCACAGGGCAAGTTTCTCTCTCTCTTCTCTGAATGCAAACAGCAACAAACCAAGAGGTCATCATATAGCTTCATTTCCTCTCCATTCCCATTATGCTAGCTCTATAGCCAGACTATTTTCCACACCTATGCAATTAGGTGATATGACTCTGTTGTTAAAAAAAACAAGATGCAATGCAATCCCAGTACTCAAGAGGTTGAGGTAGGAGGGTAACTGAGATCAAGGCTAGATTGAGTTACATAGTGAGTCCAAAGCTAGCCGGAAGTACATGTTGAGATGAGAGAGAGAGACAGACAGACAGAGACAGAGAGACAGAGAGACAGAGAGATAGAGACAGACAGAGACAGAGACGGAGAAGAAAAGAAAGTGAAATTTTCAACTACATTGGTGATGGAGACAGGTGGGAGGCAGCAGAATATTAATGTTGGCTTCCAATAATATTTGAGAAAATAAAAAAGTAAAAAGTATTAGAGGAAATATTATAAGAAGTAAAAAATGCAAGGAGACAATATCTCTCTACTACCCAGAATGGAAAATAAGCAACATATTTCGTGGTTCCATTATGCATCATTATGCAACCTTCCAAATAGAAAGAAAGAAAGAAAAAAGAAAGAAAGAAAGAAAGATCTTCCTACAGCCAAGTCTTGGGGTCTTCCTAGAGCTACAAGATACATTCTTGAGAAGACACAGCAGGAGGAAGGGATGTTGTGCTGGAGTCATCTATACAGCAGGTCACATAGAGAGGAAGTTGCCAACTGAGAAGCTGAACTAAATTGTTCCCTTTCTGCTGCTTGCTGTTTCCAAAAACTGGAGCTCTTGGTGGAATGGAGAAGTCTGGTTGATGAATCTTTGGGCCAAAGAACTAGAAACTTGACATCACTCTGTTTTAGACAACTTCAATAGAGGGAAAGAGATGAGGTATTTCTGGGCAGCTGCCCTTTAAGGAACAGAGACATTCAGAAAAACATCTGAGGAGGCCAGATAGTATAAGAAATTGAAAGCCCTGTCAATGTTGCCTTGGGGAATGTAAGTGACAGAGCCACTCTTCTAAATTCTGTTAAAGACTTCAAATCTTAGTTTATTGTGACCTGCTGGTATACAACCTGATTCGGGAAAACACTGCAGATATAGCTTTGGGTCTTGACATTATAAAATCCCATTTGATTCTCCACTCTTTAAGTGCTAAAAACCTTCATTACCAGAGACTCGTAGGTATTAAATCACAAAAGTGGGAGAATTAGAGAGCTGAAGGTCAGAAAATATGAGGCACTAGGACAGGTTTGGCTCAAGATGACTTCATTATATTACCCCATGTGTATACACACACACACACACACACACACAGTGAGAGAGAGAAAGAGAGAGAGAGAGAGAGCTATCTTTATAACCATTCTTTGGTTTCAACACCAAAATATGACTTTTGCTTTGCAAGGAGATGAAGACAGATCTCTCTAGGTAGAGTTCACATGTGCTTTCCCTTATGCCTGTTTACCCATGGAATAGGGTCATCACACCAGTCTGCCTTCAGCCGGTCAGTCTTGTAACATTTGAAACCCTATTTCTGATGAGACCCTAGGCCAGAGGAAATACGAGACAATTTTTTTCTCTTTCAGGTTCTTTGACATCATTCTCAAAATTATAATTTACAAAATTATAATGTACAAAGACAGAAATAATCCAAAACCTTGCAAGTGAGGTAGAAGACTGACTACCTTACCAAGCATCATTACTGGCTGATTCACCCCACAAGCCTCCCTGTTTATGGAGCACAAGAATTAAATCAATATAGTCAATATGTCACTGCCAGGAGGGAATGAGTGGCTACAAGCCTTGGAAGCATGATGTGCTACCAGGCTGGCATAATCATTCCTTGGCATTTCAGCAGCAGTTGTATTTGCAGATCACAGCACATGCATAACAAAAGACCACAACTCACCCTGAAAGAGGGTAAGAGTGACACACTAGATTGGCCCCCAGAGAGGAGCAGTTAGTATTTATTCAAACCCATTTGCAACCATGTTGGTGATTCCTAGAGAACTCAAGAACCTATCTGAGAAAAAAGGAAAACCCAGTAGGGTCCCGGGGAAGAATCTAGTCACAGCCAACAGCCCCACACTGGAAGAATATAACATGCATAACTTCAGGGGATAATGGTATAAATTAAATATTTTAATTTTAAAACAATTTTAAAGCATGAATTCTCTAAGGAGTGTGAACTTTTATGAGAAGTAATTCCCTAACCCCGTGTACACAGCAACCATCCAGAGATATTGTTAAGAGATAAGCTCCTAAGTTTCATTTTGAGATTCTCACTCAGCATTTCTTCAGGGGAGAAGCAAAAATATGCATCTAACAGCTCTCCAAATGATTCAGAAGCAGGGAGTTCATTTATTAAAAATCCCTTCGAGAAATGCTGCTTAGGACCTCTACAAAAGATCAGAATTTCTCCATTTCCCAATCACCTTTCATCTTCAAGCTGTGCAGGGAAGGTGGGAGAAACTGAGAACATTTTAAGGAGACCAAGGCTGTGAAGGCCATGGCCATCATTTGGCACTAGGTAGGCCTCACCCTTCCAAATTTCAGATATCTGAGACCAGAGATAGCATCATTATTCCCTGCAAACAAATATGTCATGTATTTTGAACACAAAGCAAAGAAGTTCAAGGCAAGGGTTGAAACCTAATAGGTCAGCTAACTGATTCTCTTAAGACGGGTAGGCTTCTCACAGGCCTTTCTCTGCCCACCTTCATCAATCAGCAGCACATGGAAAAAATGAAAAGAATGCTTCCTTTTTCAAGTGATCCTAACGCTGCAGGATGAATCACGGATAAGAAGAAGCATTTGCATCTAGTAGTGGGATCACTGAACGTCCGGTTCCCAGGAGAGAAGCAAGGCTTAGCCTGAAAGGTTTGCAGCCTGGCCAGAATTCAGAAATGATTAGATGTGCATAAGGACCCGTGGAAAAACATCTACAAAGCACCTTACACCTAAGGTACCCTCAGGAAGCCTGGTACCAAGAGTACTGAGGTGCCAGTTGGGCCTAGAGTGACTTGCTCCGACAGCTTTCCTGAGGCTGAACAAGGGTTTGTCCCTGCGGAGGTATCACGCTGAGATTTGTGTCCATGGTGAAGCCTGCTGTGTAGATAGATGCGCAGGCATCCTCTTGCCTCTGCACCTTAAGAGAATCCGTTCACAGGCTTCCTGCCGCACACAGGGATGGGGTGCTACTGTCTGGGGCTCGGAGCTGCCTCTTGTCTGAGCACTCCGACCCAGCGGGACTCATGGTCCATTCCAGAGCTGGACAATCGCCTAGGCTACTGCCCCGACTGCCACTCGCACTCCCAGGTCTAGATGGGACTGGGATCCCAGGCTCCCTCCCCAAATGAGTCTCAGAGACCCGCTGGAAGAGAGCGGGGGTTCAGGACCAAGGACAGCGCTAACCGCTGCGTTGGGCGAGTACAATCCTCTTCCCCATCTTTGGCTTCTGCTCTTTGAAACTGAAGTCTTGGGTTGCAACAATACAGCGTTGCCCAAAACAACCCTTTTTTCTTCTTTTGGGGTAATAGGAAACTGGTTCGGTGTCCCAGGATCCCGAGCTCCAGGGCAGGGAGGAAAGTGCCCTCCGGGGTCCGGGGTCCGGAGCGGCTGTCCCTGAGCGGCTCACTCAACGCCCCGCGAGAAACTGCCCGGTCGCACCCGGCCGTGCAGGGACGAGGATTCCCGGCAGGACGGGCGGAGGGAGCGGGGCGGCCGCCGCTGGTTCCGGACACCCCTTAGCGCTCGGGAGCGGAGTGGCCGGACTAACTTCTGGTCCCGGTCCTGTCCCGGTCCCGGTCCGGTCCGGCCCCTGCCCTGTCCCGGTCCCGTCTCGGCCCCGGTCCGGTCCCGATGGCAGTCTTCAGCGCCCCCCTCTCCTTGGGACCCCGCCTGGCCCCCGAGTCCCGCTCCCTCGGTCAGGTCGGTGCTTACCTTCAAGCCATAGGGCGCCCGGGGGCAGAGTCGGTGCCCGCTGCTCGGGGCTTCGGGCTCCCGCCGCATCCACGCGCGGCCGCCTCCGGCAGCCGTCCCGGGCCGCCGCTCCCGGCGGATCCCTGGCTCCCGGCCCCGCCGCGCGGTTCAGCGCCCCGGCGGGCAGCCTCTCGGCCGGCTCGGGCCCGCGGGGAGCGGTGGACCGGCCGCGGCGGGGCGGGGCGGGGCGGGCCGGCCGCGGGCGGGCGGGCGGGCGGGCGGGAGAGCGGCGGCGATGGGCTCCGGCCCCGGCTCGGAGGCTGGACAGCTCCGCGGCTCCGGAGCGCGGGGAGCTCGCAGGAGCGGGAGGGAGGGGGCGGGGCCGCCCCGGCCACGAGGCGCCCAGGCCCCGCCCACGAGGTGCCCAGGCCCCGCCCCCGAGAAGGCCCCGCCCCCTCGCGCGCTGGGGTGCTTGCTCCTCGCACCCTGGCCTGGGGCCACCCGGGGAGGCTCGCCCTGCCCTCCTCAGGCTGCGTGTCTAGGTTGCGCTGGCCCTGCTTCGAGGAGGCCGAGCTCTGGTGCGGGCACCGCTGCCCAGCGAGTCCAGGGAGGAGGAAGCGGTGTCTGGAGAAGCCCAGGGTCCATTTTTGTGACTTGGGCTCTGGACGTCTCTGTGGCCTCTGCTGTTTGACCTTTGCGGAGGAAAAGCCCAGTAAAGGACCTGAGCCAGGGTGGAACCTGCAGTGTGCTGTGGGACGCAGGCGGAGGAGTGAGGAGAGCTAGCTCTGGGCTGCCCGGGTCATCTGGGGTGCAGAGAAGCCGCTGCTCCCCCTTCCTTTCTCTCTCCCATGCGTTTCACCTTCTTCAGCAGTTTATCACAGAATCAGCAATCCCTGCGCTGGGCTCTACGTCACATTCAGGGTACACAGAAGGGAACCAAACCAGGCCCCTGCTCCCTGTCCTGCCAACGCAGGGGAGGTATCTGTGGCTTAGACGGGAAAGGGAGACCTTGCAGAAGCTGAGTGCTGAGGGGGAGGGTGGCATGGCATTCCAGGCAGAGGGAGCAGCACGAACAAGGGACTGGTGTGCGTGGCAGGGAGTCAGCTCTGCACGACTGAGTCTGCGCCACTCTAGGTCACAAAAGACTGAATCTGCCCCTAGTGACCCGTACAATTATAGAAAAATAGAAAGACTGTGGTATTCATGTCCATCCTTACTTCAGAAGGGGAAACTGAGACTCAGTGAGAAGCTGTCTCCTTCCCACTCCCACAGAGATCTGGGGTGGAGCAGGCCCTGTGTTCTGAGCTGCAGGCCAGCACTGTGGCATCCATGGAAGCATTTGAGGGAGGGGCACTAGTTGCCAGTGGACACCCCTGTGCCTTTCCCCCAGCTCCTGCCTTTGGCCCCACTGCGTAAATCTGGACCGTTATCTGCAGCCCTTCAGGCTTGATAGGGAGATGTCACAACCATCAGAAATCCTAACATTTTAAATGTTTGTTCCCAAAAGACTCGAACATTACAGATTCAGTTGAATTGTCAGTGTTTCCCTTGTATCCCTTGGGCCATTCTGTTTGAAATTTAACTCACTCAAAAGAGACTTGGTGGCTGCCAAGCCAGAATCCCGGTATAGATTCTGGGATGGGTCAGAGCGCTTTGTGACAAATAATTGGGCTTGGGGTGGCAGTTTGGGCACGGAGGCTCTCAAAGGTTAGCCATCACTGTTCCAGGGCAGCCTGGGTCAGTGTCCTGCCTCTGTCACCTCCCAGTTATGTGACTGCCTAAATCGTTCAGTCTCTCTGGTTCTCAATTCTCTCATCTTTAAATTAGGGCTAAGAATACCCATCTCCCTGGGCTGCGTTGAAGATAATGGATGGTGACACAGTGGACAAAGAACAATACGGGCAAAATCTGGCTGCTCTGAAGCGGGAGGTTGGCTCCGCTGGGTCAGGTGGCGGAAGCAGCACCCAGATGACCTACACAGGGATGCACTAACCAGGGATGCTGTCATTTGCGCTGCCTTTTACCCTAATTTTGCATGGTTGAGTGGATTTCATGCTGGCTATGAGTGAGACGGATGGATCTTTTAGTTTTCAATTAGCAAATGCCTCGCTTTTTAAACAAGCAGCTCGCAAACAGATGCAAGGGGGGAAGGATGACAGGGAACATCTGCAGCTAAGCAGCAGCTGCACTGGAGGCCCCCAGCATCCAGGACTGTCGGGGCCTCCGGAGGTCGTTTGGTGCCTCTTCCTGCCCCAGGCAGAACTGTGCCCAGTCCAAATAGGCCAGGTGAACAGGGCATGCCTTTCCTCAATTGCTTTCTTGGAAAAGGGGCACCACAGCTTTTTTGAACTCATCAGTATGTCCCAAATCTAGAAGTTAGGAAGCTCTCCTGATATACCCTAAATTATTTATTCTACTCTTTTTATTGTTGAAAATAGTAAATGAATAGATAGGAGTAGATATTACAAGTTATCTTAGTCCATTCAGGTAGCGATAACAAAATATCGTATGTAAAGTGGCTGATAAACAACAGAAGTGTATAGCTCACCATTCTTGAGGCCGAGAAATCCAGGATCAAGACTTAATGTCTGGCACAGGCTGCCTCTTAGTTTGTCACCTATTGGTGCTTCTAGCTGAGTCCTCACGTGGTAGAAGGGGCAAATACTACAGGCTCCTTTGGGCTTCTTTCTTAAGGGCTTTAATCCCATTACAAGATCATGAATCCACTCTTAGGACATAGTCACCCCCCAAAGTCCACATCGCCTTATACTCTCCCCTGGTAGGTTAGGATTTCAGGGTGTGAAGGGCTGGTGTACAAATACTCAGACCCCAGCATGGGTGGAAGAGGGGTCAGGGCAAGTAGGGGTTCTGTTGGATCAGAGGGAGACTAGAGAATAAAGGAAACTAAGTCCTCCACCCGTGCTCCAAACACTGCCCTCTGAGCTGAGAACATGGCCGGCTGAGGCTTGGTACTGAGGCTCCTCTCTGGTCTCTGTCAAATTTTGAGACCTGCCCAAAGAGGTACAGACAGGCACAGACCCCTTATGAAAACTGTTCCAAATAAAATAAGGGAAATGCCCTCATCTGAGAGGAAGGTCAATAGCAACACTAGAGAAACACAAGCCTTGGTTCAAGTCCAAACTCCACAACCTTGGAACACTCTGAATGCTTCTGAGGCTGTTTCCTCTGTGGTAGAGTGGGGACAGAGACCCTCATCACAGAGCTGTTGGGGAAATGAGTGACAGCGGCCAGCCACTGGTGCTCTGTGTGTCTTGTCTTCTTCAGAAAGCTTCAGCTGAAGAAGTCGCAGGGAAATGCAGTGGCCCACGTGCAGCACTGCAACTCTTGATTTATTAAATAGCTCTGTAGATAAAAATAAATAATAAGTGGAGACTTTATTTTCCAATTTTAGGGTTTGCTCTTTTCTCCTCTTCCTGTATTTTTGCCATTTCACTCTTATCCCATTTGCAAATAACTCTGGAGACACCAGGGTGGCAACAGGTGGGTCAGAGCAGGAGTGGGGCAAGAGAAAAGAACACAGTGGTTTTGTCCTTGATTTCAACATCTCTTGAACACAGCAAACCTTAGAGAAGGGCAAAGTTCTTGGTAACTCCCACTGCTGAGACAGCCACAGCCCCGGCCAGAAACTAGCACAGGAACTGAAAGTGGGTTAGGCTGGCCCTCCTGAGGCTGGGGGAGGGGAAGGAGAGGGTCCTTTTAGAAAGACAGGTGCAGGGCACAATCTCTGACAACATGGGAGAGCAGTCACCTGAGGTTTTTGGCAGCTTTGTGTGTAATTTGTGCTTAGAGAATGATTTCCTCACTGGCAGACTAACGGGCCTTTTCACCTCGGTGTGAAATGGACATTTGTGGCTGTTCTTTGCATCCTCTTATTTTGAAACAACAAAAAAATACAGGTGTGACCCACTTTTAAAAATTCTATTGTACAGTCCTTCAGAGTCACACAACAGATAAAGCATAATTATCAAAAATGTTTATTTTACTGCCTGATGGGAAGAAGTCATAAACATGCATGCCTTACTCTGTATCCATGTTCACAGTGGCAGTATTTACAGTAGCTAAAACCCAAGAACCTATCAACACAGACAAACAAAATGTTATAGTATATTACATATACATATACATTACATATTACATTACATCTGATTCTTAGTATCATTCAGCCTTAAAAAGGAAAGAAATTCTCACATATGCTACAACACAGATGAAACTTAAAGTCATAAGTAAAATAAGCCAATCGCAAAAGGATAGAGAGTACAATTTCCCTTAGATGAGGCGCCAAAGAAGTCGAACCACAGAGGTAAAGAATGTTCGAGGGGTTGCCAGAGACTGATGGCGGGAGGCACTGGGGCATTACTGAGGGAACATGGGTTTCACTTTGAGAAGATGGTACATTTTTATATCTTGCCACAATAAAATATACACACTGTGTTTCCGTGGGCACTGCAGTTGCCAGTAACTGTGAAAACAAGATAAAATCTCTTGGACATTACTGGGAAACTTACTGAATTCTGAAATTTGAAAACAATCAATTGACATTTAACCTCTGAGGTGGTATCTAGGGAATTAGAATCAGTGCTGCCTTGGAGTTCTAGGCCCTCACATCATAAAGCACTTGCCTGTGATCATATCACCCTAGGCACAGCCTTGGGAGGTCAATGCCATTCAGTGGGGAGGGCATGGGAAGGCCACGGAGGGTGCCCCTCCCAGAGGAGGGGAGCAGACCATGGAACTGGGACAAGAGTTTTCATAAAGCTCTGCAGTGCAAGAGCCACTCACCCACTCAGGTTCTGAATGAACTTGTGCAGTTCAGAGAAAATTCCATTATGAAGAAAAGCTCCATCCAAGCTTACCTTATTGAGGGTGAGTCAATGGGGAGCAGAGATATTTTTAGCCTATAAAATAATCCAAACCATTTGGAATCTTGTTGCTCACAACCTGCTCCTCTGCTTGTTGAGTTCCCCATCTCTGGAGATGACAGCATCCAGCTATTCATAGCGTGTCTTCCTCCAACACGATAAGGGTACAGTCAGGATCACAGACGTGAGAAATAAACAGCCCTGGCAGTGTAAGCAGGGAAGGACTTCAATGAAAATAAGCTAGTAGCTGGTAAAGTCACAAGGGAGAAAGGAGGCTTGAGTTTATAAAGCTGTCAGGGAAAATAAAA